TGTAATCAATGACTGCACATCAAGACAGCTGTGTACATGTGTTCCCCTATATTGAATAAGACTTCCAAAATAGTACAATATGACCAAAGCAAAAAAGAAAAGATAGAAAGTGGACATCAAAATCTTAACTTACACTAATGAAGTGTATAATCAAGTCATATTAACTAACCCCTAAGGTTGCCATGTACAAACTGAAAGATGTTGTAAAGGCCTCTCAATTGATTCGTCCAAGAAGGACAGTGACCATCATCAAGATCAGTCTGAAAGAAATACATCTATTAGACTACAATAGGTTACCTCTTCAAAGAAACCAGTACTTCTTGGTTCCATTTATTTCCTGGTTACCAACTTGGTCAGAGATTTATCAATATTATGTAGTAAGCCTTCTCCATTCCTAAACAGTTACTTCACATCTCTTCCTATTTTCCTTTCTACTGATACAGAAGATCATTTGATTCAGACCTTCTTCAGTCAATTCTTCACACTTTCTACCCTTTCTTGCATATCAATCTTGATTCTCCCCACCATCCTCCCTCGGTTCTTTATCCCCTTAATTCCTCCTTCTTCCTTACTCATTCATTTTATTCCTCCCCTTTTCCCTCCCCTTCCAACCCAGTCTCTCTGAAATATTTTCTTCGCGCCTCATCAAGTTTCCTCTGTTCCATCATTTCTTAACCCCTAATAACTGCCATGAGTGACCAAGACAATTTCTCTGTACAACATCAATACAATTAAAAGCAGACAAATGATGAGAATAAATAAAAATTTCAGCTTGGAGTTTATTAGTTGATCCAGTACCAAATTCTCTGAGCTGACATCAAAAGAATTGTATGGCAGACAGTAAGGAGAATTGCTAATGTGATCTGGGAGTGAAAGGTTTGATTAGAAGCAAACCACTGAGCAGTGCATAAAGGGTGAAAGTTTCTAAAGAACCTGTGGGGCTGTGTTGGTGGGGGTAACAAGGTAATTTGGTATATCAGTTGAGTTGAAATTGTAAATTGGCCACTCTAACAAGTTAAAATGTTGATGTTTTGAGCATTATCCCTTTGTCAGAGCAAATGACAAAGGGCTAATGCTTGAAACGCCAGCCTAGTTCATATACCTATTGAAACCACTTAGCAGTGTACCTGAATGCCACAAGCTGGTGAATTTAGAGCCTTGGTGAACATTTCAGTATCAGCAGGGGAGATGTCTCCAAGATCAACTGCCCTGCACTGCAACCTGGGAGGGACAGGTGACACCCTCCAAGTTTTATCCCTAACCTGTACACTTTGTGGTTGGAAGAATGGTAATTCTCCTGAGTCATTTAGAGTCAGTTTTCTGATGCTGCGATATCTTAGCATCTATATGTGCAGAGAAATCATTAAAAAATAATCAGTTCTCTAAAAGGTAAAAAAGACTGAAAGATTAAAGATGCAAGACTACATGTAATGCCTCATTACAAGATACAAAAACACTCAGTTCATGTATATTTAAATTTTCAAGTAATTCCATGGGACCCTGGGGAGAATTGTGCTCTGCTTCAATTGATGTTTCTAAACTTTTACTGGGCATAAAGGTTAAATAAAATGTTTCCCTCATGAATACATATATGCATGCAAAGCCAGTTCAACTTATGGGACAGGGTTTGGTGGATGGTCAGTCAAACTAATAATTAAAAATTAATGATCAGATGCAATCTCTCTTCAAATTTGTTCAGAGCTAGGAACACTTCTGATCTTCTTACAAAACTCAAAATGACAACACCTACCTGTTCAACATTGCTATCAAACTGTCTGACAAGCTCAACAATAAAAATTATGGCATGCGGAGTGAGAAGGCTTTGATATTCCACTTCATAACATGATGGTGGACCAGATAGCTCCACATCAAGTATTCCATGCTGAAACAGAATTAATAAGACAGCATATACATATGAAAAACTTCTGGATGGTACATCAATCTTACATCTTTTAAAATAACATGTTTTAAAAGCCAGGCATTTCATGATTATGAAGCTACTCATTTTCAGCTACCAGCAGAAAAATCAAGGGCTGATTGCTCTTTTGAAAATTTTATGTCCTTGATTCCATTTTACATAAAACCACTTTCTAACATATACAGATTGTTCTAGTGCCATGAAATGCCAGTTTTGAAAATGCAGTGAATGAAACCTGGATAAACACACTTGAAAAATATCACCTTTATTTTTTCACCTTACATCAGTCGGCCAATCAGCCAAATGATTTCAATGCTGATGTCACTTATTTGTATGAGATTTTGAATAACTTTAACTGTGCCCATCAACTCTGGAAAGAGTTTGCATGCAAGGCCTTAATTTCTTAGTTTTTAATTCCACCTTATCCTAATACAAAATTTAGTTGTGGTTCATAACCAATGAATTGAGGATAATTCAGAGATTTTAAAAAAAAGAGCAATCAGCCCTTGATTGTTTTGTAGCTGAAAATGAGTATCTCTATAATCATAAACATAACAATTACCTTGTTATACTGACCCCCACCAACACTGAGGCACAGCTTCCTTAGAAACTTCCCCCCCTTCTTCAAGAGCACTAAGTCTTATTTTATGAATTTTTATTGATAAAATTTTATCTGATTCAGCTCTAAAGTTTCAATTTTTTAAAGCTTCAATAACTTATCGATAATTATGTATCTCCTAGTTTAGCCAGCAGTGAGAAAAGTGCTCCTAAACAGTTCCCCGTTGACCATTACCATATGATTCGATAAATCCCCACGATCTTATTGAAAGTGGGCTGACCTTGTCTCGATCAGAATTATCTTACGATAGTAAACGTCAAATGATGATCTAACCAGGTCGATTATTGTATCAAAAACGACTCTACATTAAAAACATTATTCTTCGACTCAGCTTATCAGGAAAATCATTTTACTGAATGCAATAAATAATTCAGGATATTGTCTTACGGGGGATCGTAAAAACATGTAGTTGAACGATACTTGCCTGTCGCAAATTGACCAAAAGAGATTGCCGATATTTTTCCCCGAGCGACAAACTTGGCTGAAGATGGCCTGAAATTGCGGAAAGTCGCTTATCCGCTGCCATTTGCTTTTAAAACATTTTCCTACTAAGACTCTCCGATTCTGTAAAGCCTACCGGGGGCTAAACAGTCGGCAAAACCACTGCAAAGTATACACGTTTGGGCGAAAATAGTCAGGCGTTACAGAATATATAGTTCCCAGTTTACGCGCGGTAGGTTTTCCCAGGAAAGGTTGAAGCACGATCCAATTTCGAAGTCGCATGCGCTATGTGCTATTTTCGGAACGAAAAGAGGAGGGTCTCGCTTTTAGCTTCGGTTTTCTCTCAGAGTATTTAAATTTTTCTTTCAAGACTTACGAGAAATTTTTCCTCTCTATAACCATCCGTGCCCAAACCTCTAATAAACCGCTGCAACGATAAAAGCATGGTTTGTCATGTTTCTAATGTTGTTTGTCATGCGAAGTAATAAGGACCTCCGTGTAATGGCGCTAAAGGAGTTTCAGGACAAGGATTACGAAGATGTGTTAAAACGGCCTGTGTTTTGTCCAGACTGTTACGACACAAAAATGAAGAGCTAAAGTACTACTGTAAGAACTGCAAAACAGCTGTTTGCCAAAATGATGTGCGTGAAATAAAATCTGTGTGACTTTAAACCACAGTGGCCACGCTTTTGAACACATAGATGATGCGGCTGAAAAACAGAAGGTCGAGATTAAATCACTGATTAAACAGCAGAAGCGAAATTTGGAAGGAAAGGTAAAATCGACGAGGAGACTGGAGGCAAATTGTGGCTCACTGGAGGGAAAAGCGGTGACTGTTTCGAGGGAAGTCGAAGAGTTAGCCAATAATTTGATAAAACTTATAGAGCTGAAAAGGAGAGTAATGCTGATAAAGGCGGAAGAACAGACAAGAAAATCTATTAAAAATATCGAAGATTAAATCTCTGAGTTTTCGGAACAGACAGAATTGATTGCATCATCTTTACAGGAGGTTGATAAGCTCCTATTAACAAGTACAAACGTCGAAGTCTTTCAGTTGAGGAAGTCGATAGAGACAATCTTCAAGGGATTTCCAAAGGGTACCAGAGAGAACAGTCTGCAACTTTTAGATTTTTCAGAGAATGGAATGCTTTTATACGCTATTAAGACCCAAGAAATTGTTTCTTTGACGTTAAGAGACCCAAACCAACATGTTTCACCTCCCTACCAATTAGTCTCTTCCTCAAAAAGGAGAGGTTTGACACACAGAGATCGCGAATGGTTGAACTTAAACTGAGCCAGTTTTCTCACTTGAAATTAATTCCACCTTCCCTCCAAGTGCTCAAGTGAGATGATGACAACAATTGGTTGGGAAGAAAATATTTCTCGGAAACTATAAAGACAAAGTAGAAACTTTCAAGGCCATCGATCTTAAATACCATGGAGCACTTTCCTTAATATTTGGCATGTCACTGTTTAACAAATCTAGACAAACAGGAAGCGGAAGTTTCGTAATTGAAAGCTGCAAATAAATTAAAGGCTGGTTAGTCTTCATAATATTATTTTTCAATTTTTTCTTTCTCAAAATAAAATCAGCTGCAATTTCTAAAACCCGAATCTGAATTCTACACAAATTTTAGCTGTATCGGTTAGCCTAACAGGATTCATCCAAACAGCCATGATTTATTTGCTGGGGTTAGTTTTCATTTTTTTATAAGATATTGAATAGATAAATTTAATAATGATTATCAACTCCAGTGACTGTTTGTCGAGAATGGCTTAATTTCTTGTTTTTGTTTTTGTTTGTTTGTTTTTTTCCGGCTCCCTGATCCTTATTCTAATTATGTGGGGTCCATATCTTTTTACTTAACATGCATCAGTCTGGCCATGGTGTTTGCTCCTCTACTATTGCAACCAACCACTCCAAAGCTCCTGTCATACAAGCTGGAAGGTTTGCAAAGGCATATTATTAGAATGATCCTTCTGCCAGTCACCCTCGAGGAAGTATCAGCCCCTGCAAGTTTAGAGACACATTTTGATCTGAGACAGGCTCTAATCATCAGAATTTCGTAGAACATTAGTTATAATCCTGGTCACAAATGATATATAGTTTGGCCCAAAGCTATGCAAAAACTGTAGTTTTTCCTTTTTTAATTCTGACAAATTAACTTAAGTATCACATTCTTACTTGAAAGATGAAAAGACTCAAGAATATATCCTTTTTAAAGCTGTTGTGTAAAAATAATTTTGTTACATGTAGGTGCTTTTCGAGGATCACACTTTAACTTAGTCTTATCATTTAATGCCTTTGTTAAGTTTTCTCTGATTTGCCTCTATAGGTGTACATGTAAAGCTTCAAAAACTTACCTCTGTTTACTCATCTCTCCTAAATCTGTTACGAATACTAAATTATTTCCATTCATATGGTTCACTTAACTATAAACTGGTGGTCTCACCACACAGATATCTACCCGTAGTCATCGATGTCAGACAATGATCATAGAAGCATGTCAAGGAATCTAAAGGAAAACTTCAGTCTAGACTCTCTATCTAACCTCTCTTACCAGATAAAATTTGTTTTGTTTTCGGTTTTCATCAAAGGTAAATAACGGGTTTTCTTCGATCTGAGCGGCAAGATATATGCGCGTCCAGTTACTGATCTCGAATAGCCGCGAAACCTCTGTACACTCCACTTGTCTCCACTGTATCGGATCGATTAGGGTTCTGATAACTGGGATGTGAATTTTTTTTTTCGGTTTTGACAGTTTTTCATGCGGCTTTTGGTTTTGATCGAATGTTTTTGCGGTTTTGGATTATCTTTCCTACGGTTTTTCGGTTTCTTATAGACCCCATTGTCCCCCTCCGGTACCGTTTCCAATTTTCGCTCCATTTTTCCCAGAAAACACAATGCATCTTTGAAGACGATCCCAACTGTTTCACACAGAATGCGAACGCCTTGAAATTGGTGATAGTGAAATTTCTATTAAGGGATACTCAATTGTGCGTAAAGACCTACAGGATTCGTCGAAAGCTTGCGGAGGTGGAGTTCTTATTTATGTCAGAGACGGTATTCCAATTATTCGCCAAACTGAATTTGTGGATGATAACTTTGTATGTCTCTGGATCGAAATCAACAGACGTTCTTGCAAGCCCATGGCTGTTAGTGTTGTGTGATAGACCGGGCTATTTGAACATCGAAGGTTTTACTAAAGCTCTGACACGTATTTTGGATAGAATATACTTGGATAAAGTTGAAACAATCATCCTTGGCGATTTTAATGTTGATTATTCAGCAAAAAGAAATCCCTTACTACGTCGCAGTTTGGATAAATTTGCACTTTCATTCCATTTAACACAGATGATTTCCAAGCCCACTAAAGTCACGGAGACATTCAAAAGTACAATAGACTTGATTTTAGTCAACAACACCCACAAAATAGTTCAGTGTGATGTTTTAGATTCGAGCATTAGTGATCATAATGTAATCTTTTGCGTGGCGAAAGGAGGCGTTAAGAAACTACCGCCAAAGGTATTTGAATATAGGTCTTTCAAAAGCTATGACAAGAATGTTGCATAATCAGCAATTCACGCCGCCATTTACGTTTTATCACAACAGAATCGTTGCTAATTAGTGTACGTTGTAGTGTGACCGTAGTTATATGCAAAATGCCAGCAGGTATGAAACTCGTGAATTTTGGCCCTACATTTTTATTACTTGGATTAGTGCGTGCGCGAATAAAGAACTTCGTTTTTACAGAACCGAGTAGTTGACATGGTGTCAGGATTTAACAAACCCAGCCAAGACTAACGTCGACAGCGATCACCGCCAGCTTTTCGAAACATCAACTCTCTCAATCTACAATGGCTGAATTGGAGCATTTAACAGCGCCAAAAGGAAACTTTACGTCGGGCCCCGAATATTACTAAAAGTGCTTGGATTGGGTTGAGGAATGCGAACTTTTTTTGAATGGTCCGCTAGCTTCGAAGAGCAAAGCTGTGAAAGCAAATTATGTTCTCATTTGGGCAGGAAAAGCTGGAAGAACACACGACATTAAGTCACTGAATCTCACCACGGAAGAGAAGGGAGATCCAAGCGTGTTGTTTAAAAAGATCGTAGAGTGGACAAAGCCGAAATCCAATGCACTCGCAGCCGCATCAAACCTCCGCCGCCTGGAGCAAGGTGATCTTAGCCTTGCAGAGTACATTGACAAAGCCACTATTCTGTACGACCAGTGTGAATATCCACCAGAAGCCCGCGACCGACTACTTCCGGATGCAATATTTATTGGACTACGCTCCAAAGAGGCATATTACAAATGTATTGAAAAGGTTCCGAATTGACGCTAGAAGAGGCAATAGAAATTGCTCAGAATCAGGACGCCACAACACACCAAGTTGGTTATATGCGACCGGAATTCAAAGGCAAACCACTACAAATGGAAGTTCATAAACTCCAAGGAAACAGGCAATCAAGAGCCAACCGGAATAGACAGCAGCAACAAAGACCAGCTTCCAGTGATCAGAAACGGGGAAGGTCAAAGAGGGAAACTTGTTTCTATTGTAAAGCGAAACCGTCACATCCCAAAAGTGAGTGTCCCGCAAAGAAGGCAAAGTGCTTCAAGTGTGGGAAGGAAGGGCATTACGCTTCCGTTTGCAAATCAAAGAATAGAGACGCACGTGTCAATGAGTTAGAAGTCAAATCTACAACAGCTTCTGAGTGCACGGACTGCGTACTGAATGAACACGAGCCAGTTTACTTCAACGCGCCTATTCATCACCTCAAGACAGTAACAGTAGAAAGTCTCAATCATCCAAAATCAGAACCTCACATCCGCCCGCTATGGCTCAGCCAAGAATTTTCATCACAAATTTTTCAGATTGACTGCGAGGCTGATACCGGACCAAGTTGTAATATACTGCCGTTGTACAAGGCTAAAGCACTCTTCGGAAACGACTTGAAGTTGGGCAAACCAACCGTGAATCTCAAGGGCTACAATGACAGTCCAGTAGAAAACCTTGGTTCCTGCATTATGTACCTTTACCATGGTAACAAGATATTCAGAGTTTGTGCGAAGTCGCAGACAGCAAAGGTCATATGATCCTAGGAAGAAAGCAAGCGTTAATCATGGAATACGTCAGTTTCCCTGAAATCCAGAAACCTGGTGTCCAAGCTAAAACAGATAGGTCTATCAAAACAATCGTGGAAGAGCCCGCGAAAACCACTAACGGTCCAGTAATTCCAAGAGTTGAGAAATGCACTGATCCAGTGGTACCAGTGATCCAAAGCAGCACTAAAGAGAAGATAACGATTAATGGAAAGACACACTCATTGCCCACCACTAAGGATTACTTACTGCAGGAATATGGCGATGTGTTTCAAGGCATAGGAACTTTACCAGGTGGACCTTATCGTATCCAGTTAAAGGAAGGCTACAACCCCGTTCAACACCCACCGCGCCAAGTTGCAGTCAGCCTAAAACCACCCTATAAAGCAGAATTGGAGAGATTGACACAGCTTGGAGTCATTAAAGAAGTAAGGGAGCACACTGAGTGGATTAACTCGATTGTTCCAGTTAAGAAACCAGATGGTTCCTTACGGCTATGTCTTGATCCAAAAGATCTCAACCGAGCGATAAAGAGAAATCAGTGGTACAGCAGAACAGTCGATGACATCCTACCGGAATTAGCAAATTCGAAGTATTTCAGCTTGCTTGACGCGAAATCGGGATATTGGCATGTCTCTCTTGACAAGGAAAGCAGTTACCTGACAACTTTCAATACACCCTGGGGCAAGTACCGATGGCTACGCCTACCCTTTGGGCTAAAGGTATCAGGAGATGTCTTTCAGGAAAGAATCGACAGAGTACTGAAAAGTGTCCCCAATAGCGTTGGAATCGTTGACGATATCCTTTGCCACGGCAACGAAGAAACTACCCGTGACGTTGCAGTTATCACCCTGCTAGAAACAGTGAGAGTTAAAAATCTCACTTTCAATGCAAACAAATTTGTGTTCAAGTCTCAAGATTGTACATTATTCGGAGGCAATCTTACCCCAGCCGGGTACAAGATGGACCCCCAAAAAGTGTAAGCCATCACAGAGATGAAACCACCAGACAACCTTCAAGATCTGCAAAGCTTCCTAGGACTGGTAAACTACTTAAACCGGTTCAGTCCAGCACTGGCAGATTTAACAGCACCGCTTAGAACCCTCTGTAAGAAGGACACTCTCTTTACCTGGGAAAGCTCACAACAAATAGCATTCGAGGCTATCAAGAAAGAGATTACAAGTGCACCAGTATTGGCATACTTTGATCAGTCTAAAGCTAGCACTATTCAGTCAGACGCATCCAAGAAAGGATTAGGAGCAGTTCTACTCCAAGATGATAAGCCTATGATCTACGCATCAAGAGCCGTCACAGAGACGGAACAATCTTACTCTAACATTGAACGAGAGCTGCTCAGTGTTGTTTTTGCTCTTGAAAGATTTCATCATTATGTGTATGGATACACAGCGACGGTGAAAACAGATCACAAACCATTGGTCACCGTGTGGAAGAAATCCATAGTGTGTAACTCACCACGCCTTCAGAGGCTATTGCTGAGACTATCTCAGTATGACGTAAACATTGAATACCTGAAAGGAAAGGATAATGTCGTAGCTGACGCACTGTCCAAAGTATCTCCTCAACCAACACCTAAAGAAGGAGAAGACGAGGAAGATTTCATCCCAGTTCACATGCTCACAGAGGATATCTCCGCCGATTCTACGAGAGTTGGAGATTTCAGACGCGCAACTGCAGAAGACACTATTTCCGGCTTACTGATGCAAGTGGTAGCAAATGGATGGCCTGAATTAAAGAAAGGTTGCCACCCACTTCTTGTAGACTATTGGAGCTACAGAGAAGAGATCAGCGCAGAGAGTGGTCTATTGTTCAAAGGCCATCGACTCATAGTTCCTGAGAAATTGTGTGGCAGAGTCCTCCAAACCATCCACGAGGGTCATTTTGGTTTTGAGAAGATGCAACTAAGAGCCCGAGAAGCAGTATTCTGGCCAGGAATAACCTCAGATTTACTACAGGCAGCACAGGGTTGTGAATTTTTCCAGACGTTCTCAACAACGCGAGACAATGTTGCCCCATGAAGTTCCTCAAGGACCTTGGGAGAAGTTAGGAATTGATTTCTTGTAGTTTCAGTCAACTACCTACCTCCTGATAGCAGACTACTACAGTAGGTTTCCCGTGATCCGGAAGGTCCGCAGCACCAATGCGAACACTACCACCGAGATTTTGAAGCAAGTGTTTAGCGAATATGGAGTACCTCAAACCGTTATGACAGACAACGGTCCCCCGTTCTCGTCGAAGGAATTTTCAGCCTTTGCAAACCAATATCGCTTTGACCACATTACCTCTAGCCCTCGTTACCCGCAGAGTAATGGTTTTATCGAACGTATGGTGCAGACGGTCAAGCAGTGCATGAGAAAATGTGCAGCCGTAGGACATGATCCAAATTTAGCTATGTTGGTCTACAGAGCCACACCCCTTACTACCAGCATACCGTCACCTGCAGAGCTATTGAATGGACGAAAGTACAGAGCATTACTTCCAACCAAATCCCCTATCCAGAATCCTCATTACCAGGTTGTCCGAGAGCAAATGGTGCAAGACAAGAACAAAGTCTGCGAACACTACAACAAAACTGCGAGGGATCTACCTTTATTGCCACAAAATCAGAGAGTGTACGTACAGGTTCACCCCCGATATAACTAGTGGACTCCAGCAACCGTTACCAAAACGCCAGTAACGTCTCAAACGAGATCGAACGGTGTCGAAACTACTAAGGGAGCCCAGTCAGTGAGGAATCGTCGCTTCATTCATCCAGCACAAGAAATTACTCCCGTTCCTGCCGATAGTATTAAGCGTGGCGATAATAGTAGCAGTGAACGACCAAGACGTGTGATTACAAGACCTACAAGACTTACAGAGACAATTTAATTACTTTCAATGTTTTCAGTTAAGGCCTAAGTTTTTTTTTATTAGAGGGGAGATGTTGCATAATCAGCAATTCACGCCGCCATTTACGTTTATCACAACAGAATCGTTGCTTATTAGTGTACATCGTAGTTTGACCGTAATTATATGCAAAATGCCCGCAGGTGTAAAACTCGTGAATTTTGGCCCTACATTTTTATTACTTGGATTGGTGTGTGCGCGAATAAAGAACTTTGTTTTTACAGAACCGAGTAGTTAACAAAGAAAGCATTCATTAGTGATCTAGACAGGTTCCATGGAGTGTAATTGAGGGAATCGGTGATATTGACGATACTGTTTCCTTTGGGAGAAACTGTTTAAAGATTGTGCAGATCAACACGTACCTGTTAAATCAAGACGCCAGAAAGGTATGCCAACACCTTGGGTGTTTGATAAACTTTTGAGACGCGACCGGGACTTTCATCGAAGAAAGGCATTATCCTCAAACTCTCAGTATCATTGCGGAATGTATCGCAAGTTGAGAAATTTGGCTAGTCGGGAAGAGAGATCTCTCAAATCACAGTAGCACTGTAAGCTAATTGAAGATGCTAAGAATGAAAGCTCTTCGATGTGGACGGCGATTAAGCAAACCTTGCCATCAAATCATATGGATACTAACGCCATCTTCTCTAATGAAAATCTCCACACTAACTTTACTGATATTGCCAAACATCTTAATCAGCATTTCTCGAAGACTGGAAGATATCTTGCCGAGGCGTTCCGCAATACCTCGTCTGCGCTTTCGAAAAATATTACTGGTGCTTACGACTTCAAGCTGAATCCGGTATCAGAAATGTTTTCCCATAAAGAATTGAGCAAGATGGAAGCAAACAAAGCTACTGGTCTTGACAAGATCAGTGCTCGACTTTTACGTGACGCAGCCTAGGTCGTTACCCCTCCTTTAACTTATATCATCAATACTTCCTTGAACTTTGGAAAATTTCCTTCTAATTGGAAGTGTGCAAAGGTCACTGCTCTCTTCAAAGAAGGTGATAGATAGATAGATAGATAGATAGGTAGATAGATAGATAGATAGATAGATAGATAGAAACTTTATTAACGTGTCAAAGAACCTTCTAGTTTGCGAGATATCCCATACTAATGTGGGGACACAAATAAAATGGATAAAAATTATTTAAAAAGAATATTACCTACTTAAGAATAAAATTAAGTTATATCAGGTATGAAAAAATACGAAATGAATTAAGAAGTACATAGAGCACAGCCCCTGCAGTCATCATCTAATAGGGAGCTGAGGTCACGCTTACGTATGCGGTTTTTGAAGCTAGCTAATGTTGTGGCTGATCTGTCATAAGTTGTCAGTTTACTCCATAATTTAGGTCCAAGATAGCGTAGTGAATGCTTGCCTTAAGTTATTGTGTTGTATCTAGGAATAGAAAAGTCGGCCTGTCTTATATTATAGGAAGCGTTGTGTTTCTGAAATATATTACAAATATTCAAGGGGCTAAGGTTGTGTTTAACTTTGTACATTAAAATGCATGCCTCCTGTAAGCGTCTGTTTACCAGCGAAGGTAAATTAACTTTCTGCAGTAAACGTTCATAGGTGGAGTGTTTATCTTTGAATACCGCCCTTAGGCCTCTTTCTTGAACTCTCTCCAATCTGCGACTATCACTAGATTTACAAAAATGCCATGTGAGATGGCAGTAGGTTAGATATGGTAGAATGGCTGCCTTAAAAAGTTGTAATTTTGCATTTGTTGGAATCAAGTTGCGGAGTCTCATAAGCACACCAATCCTTTGACTGGCTTTGTTACAGATAGTATTTATATATTCCACGACAGAGGACCCAATGCGGATCCTTGAGGACAGCCTCCACTGACTAATCTGTTGGAGCTGATATTGCTTCCTAACTTTACACGATTTCTCCTATTCGATAAATAGCTTTTCAGAAGTTCAATGATATTACCCTGGAAGCCGTAAGCTTTGCGTTTGCTTTGAGCTTTGAGTTTGTGGATGTAAGGAGTCAAAAGCTTTTGACATATCAGTCGACATTACGCTTACGAAAAGATGTTTATCTCTGGCCTCTCTTCACCCCTCCACCAGGTTGATCAGCGTGGTTGCGCAGCTGTACTTTTTGCGGTAGGCAGATGAGTTTACAAAATGTGTTTGTCGAAGTCGGTCGTAATTTGCTTGCCAATGAGCTGCTCAAAGACCTTATCAGCACATGGTAAAACTGTGATAGGTCTGTAGTTTTCCTTACTGGATCTGTCGCTCTTTTTAAATAGAGGCGTCCATTCCCCACACTTCCATTCGCTTGGCCAGACCTTATTTTTTATACAGGCGTATAACTGTAGACCAATATCCGTACTTCCAACTGTAAGTAAATTAATTGAAAGAGCACTGCATATGCAACTCTACGCCTTCCTAGAGTCTCATCAACTACTTGTAATGAATCAGTTTGGTTTCCGTCGGGTAGATCAACATCTCTTGCCTTGACACAATTTACCGATGAAATGCTTGCAAATATGGACAATGGTCTCTTAAACGGAGTCATCTTTTTAGACCTACAAAAGGCCTTTGACACTGTAGACCATACAATTTTGATTTATAAACTTAAAGCTCCAGGCGTGTCGGGGGTTAGCCTTGCTTGGTTCCAGTCCTATTTGACATCTCGTTCTCAGAGAACAGTTATTGGTCAAGCAAAGTCCTCCATCAGACGTGGGGTACCACAAGGATCTATTCTTGGTCCGCTCCTTTTCTCTATTTATGTTAATGACTTGCCTACTATACATGCCTAAAGCACACATCTGTTACGCTATTTGCCGATGATACTGCCTTATACTGTTCCGCGAAATCCTCTACAGATTTACAACAAATGCTGAATGAGGATCTGGTTCGTGTAGCAGAGTGGCTTCATGACCATAAACTTACACTAAATGTAGCCAAGTCTAAGTTTATGATAATTGCAAGTTCACAAAGGCTGAACTCGTTCGGGAAAGTTAGCCTACAAATCGGTGACGAATTCCTTGACAAAGCAGATTGTTACAAATACTTGGGAGTTATTATTAACGAAACCCTAACTTGGGGTGATCGTGTTAAGTACCGTGATTTCAACCAAAGTAAATCAACGACTTGGCATTCTCAGAAGGATTAACATTTATTGCCAATACAAACCAGGGAACTTTACGTTAAATTAGTAACGGCTTGCCACTTTTGAATTATGATGGCATTGCGTGGGGAGACAAATACAACAAAACTCTAATGGCTAAAGTCCAGTTATTGCAAGGCTAAACACTCTTCCGCAACAGAGGCAATTAACGAGCTTGATTGGCTAGTTTCATCAGAAAGGCGACGACAACACCGTCTTTCTTTTGTATTTAAATGCATGAGTGGGTTGATTAACTGGAATTTTTAATTTTACACACTCAAGGAAAATACACCATTGTAACACTAGGCACAAAGACAACGTTCTTTTGCCCAAATCTCGGTGCCAGTGGGGCAACGAAGACTGACTTATCAAGCGCTACACGAATGGAAAAGTCTTCCAATGTCTATACACGAAGTGCAAATAGCCTTGATTTATCTCAGAAGCTTATATAAACTATGTTCTCTAATTTTGTTATTGAATTTTACATTTAATCTTAAGATTCTATTGTAATTGTATTTTTGACTTTTCTTAGATTTAACATTTTTTTTTAGCTTCTATATATTATAATTTCTACTCAGGACCAGCCTGAAAACCACCTGAGGGTGAGGTTGCCTCCTGGCTAAAGATATTTATTATTATTCATATTCTCTCGCAGAATATTTCGATTTTTAACCTAAAACTTAATAGGAATTCTCCGTTTCTTTAAACCATTAGTGAATAAATGACATCCAAGCTAAGAAAAAAACGCTTCGACGAAGGGCTAACGCCCGAAACGTCAGCTTTTATAATCGTAACGGTCGCCAATTCACCATTTCAACTTTGTTGATATATTCAAATTATTTCGTTACCCCCACCGACGCAGCGCCAAACAGTTTCTTTAGAAACTATCAGCCTTTATTATGATAAAAACAGTCAGCCATTGTAGGTTCCAGTTTAGGCGCAACGGGTTTTCTAAGAAAATTTACGCTGATTAGAACTAATATTTTGAAAGATCAGTCGTTGTAAATATTCCTTACAAGAGAACGACATGGAATTCAAAACTTTGCTTTCTACCCTTCATGAAGAGGTGTCTTGTTCTGTATGCTCAAAAATCTTCACCGATCCAAAACAGCTTTCGTGTTTACATAGTTATTGTCTAAGCTGCATACAACAATGGTACAGAAGAAGCCGTTGCAGCCGTGGCAGATATGACTGAGACACGATCAAATGTCCGAAGTGCCAAGCTATTAGCAAAGTGCCCAGAAGTGGCGATCTGAACGATCTTCCAACTAGTTCTTATCTAAACGGCTTGATTGATGTATTAGCCATAAAGGAGTGCAAGAACAGTCAAATAACGTGTAGAAATTGCGAGCAGAAATGTTCAGAAATTTCCTACTGCTTTCAGTGTTGTATGTTTTATTGTGGTAAATGCGAAACTGCACATAACATCATGCGAAGTAATAAGAATCACCGTGTCATGGCGCTAAAGGAGTTTCAGGACAAGGACTACTCGCGAGGATGTGTTAAAACGGCCTGTGTTTTGTCCTGAGAGTTACGACACAAAAATGAAGAGCTGAAGAACTACCGTAACAACTGCAAAATAGCTGTTTGCCAAACCTGTGTGACTTTAAGCCACAGTGGCCACGCTTTTGAACAAATATATGATGCGGCCGAAAAACAGAAGGTCGAGATAAAAGCCCTGATTAAGCAAAAAAAATGGAACTTGCAAGAAAAACGAAACACGATGAAGAAACTTGAGGGAGATCGCGATAAAATGGTACAAAACGGGACAGCTGTTGCCAGGGCAATAGGGGAGTTAGCAAACAATTTGATGAAACTCGTAGAATTAGAAAAGACAAAAATGTTGAATGAGGCAAAAGAACAGACAAGCAAATCAATCGGAAGGAGTAAGGAAGAAATTGCTGATAAAACAAGACATGAAAAATTTATTGAGTCATCTCTAGGGAAAATTCAAAAACTCTTATTAACAAGTACCAACATTGAGGTTGTTCAATTGAGGAAGTCGATAGAGACAATTTTCGACAAATTTTCAGAGACTATACAAGAGAGGAGCCTTCCAGAGTTGAGTTTCATGGAAAATAAAAAGCTTCTACACTCTGTTCCAACCGAAAAAATCGGTTTATTTAATCGGAGTATTCCAAAGCAACGAGGTCGAGGAGTCGGTTCTCAGTTCTAATAGGAGTACTTTAAGTCAACCAGCGCGCCAGGTTCCAGAACAAATCGTTTCTTTTAATCGGAGTATTCCAAGTCACCCAGCTCGCCATGCCCCCGTACGCTACTCGCGTGGGAGCCTGAGCGAGTTTGAGATGAAGAGAAAGTTACACGAGGCTGTGTGGCAGGGCCCTTAAATGGCCGACTTGTACTAGTGACTTAGCCTTGCTTTCCTCCACTGAATTTTACCATCCTTCAAAATCCCCGAAGAAGGTGAGAAATGGTGGTTGAGAAAAAATAACTTTCTCGTGGAACCGAGAAGGCGAAGCAGGAACCTTCGAATCCGTCATTTGGAGGTCACGCAAGTATTTCCCTCCGTTTTTTCTTTCGTGGAGCGTTGTGTGACATCCCAAGAGGCGTCGGCGAAAGAAACTTCTTTTATTTAGCTTGTGATAGAGTTGACAATTCCCTTAACGCGAGGGTATTTATGCGGCCGCACGTAAACACATAATTCATATTCACAAGCGGACAGGTATCTTTTTGTTTATCAATCCAGCAATAGAAGACTTTTTTGGTGTCAACACAGCTTCATCATCTAAACTCGAGAGGGGTTGGGAGAATGCGAGAAAGCTATACAAACCTGAGCCGCAGTCGAGGGTTTGCCTGAGGAGTTAGTGTTCGGATGAGGCAGTATAAACACAGAAAAGGCTATTATTACTGTCGTAAAATATCTCTCCTATCGAGCAATGTGAAAACGCGTTCTATCTTAAATATTCTATAGATAGATATTGATTGCAGTTTTGAACCAAAGACATTTCTTAAAAACATTTTGAGAGCACGGGATGCATATGCAGAGATCACCCTCTTGGAATTGAAACTTAGCTCGTAGAAAAGCTACTTCAGGTTATAACATAAAAAGGTAACAAGTTCTCGCTGCAAGAAACGTTTTCCTCTCAAAAACTAAATGTTAAATTCAACCTAAATAACCCTAGAAAAATTAAATTTCTCGTGAAAAGTGCAAACCACAATGTTGATGAGGCTGGTTATCATGACAACATTGATATTTTCACATGTGAAGGTGTAAATTGTACGTTTACTGTCTTTACTGCACGAGATGAAAATGTCTATAAGACAAAAATCAACTGATACGAACAGACATGAAAACGGGTACCATCTGAAATGAAGAGTTGCGAATAAAATTTTGAAGTTTCTTTAACTAAAGAAGTGCATGGCTACTTAGAGTTTCGCAGGAAGTCCAATTTAATTTTCACACAAGTTGTGTGTGTGTGTGTGTTTTTTTTTTTTCGAGAATAAAGGTAAAATGGACGAGTGAAGTTTTTCGATTTCTTCGGACTGAATTCAATTCACAGAACCAATAGCAATTTGACAATGATTAAAAATTCCTTGGGCTCAATTTTTTCACACTGAGAATTTTGTGTAGAGGCAGTTATTGTGACACACAGTGCAAAAGAGTTGAACAAGAAGGTGTTGTTCAGGTACTTATGCTTTAGCTCTATAGCGAGAGCTAGTAGAGCTCATGCTTTGATTCAACGATACAATGCAAGATTTTAAGATCCGAGTTCAAAGTTACACACGTCGTGACAGAGCCGTGTTCACTTGTAGGAGGAGGGCTATAATGGGGTTAATCGTTAGCCGTAAAATGGCCAAAATTTTAAACGTTGGTTGTAAGAGCCATTCCCCCATTGAGGCTCTGTTGCAGTGAGCTGATGTGATAGAAATGAAAGCGATGTATGGCCCGACATTGGCAAGACCAGACAGAAAATGTAGGGAGATTCGTTTGGCAGCTGAAGTGTCCTTACTTTTCTCCTGCTTTTCTTGGCTTCAATACCTTGAATTGTTATGACAAATGTCACTCTTCTTAACCTCCTCTCCCCCCTTTTTATTAAATGGTTCCTGCATTTCATTAATCGGTTGCCCCCTCCTGTTTACTATTTGTTCACTAAATACACAGGTTAGTGGACGATCGGAGAGAAAAGTATCATGCGTCGAAAAACTTGAAGTTCTGATTCGTACCTAGTTTCTGAGTTCATCCCCTTACGTTCCGCTTGAGTCTTCATTTCAAGTGTAAATTCTGGAAATTCTCGCTGATATGCCACAATATTTTGGGATAACTATCTGAATGTTATATTGAATAAAAGATGATCATCTCTTGTAATTAAATAAGCTAGAGAAAAGGATCCGATTTTACAAAATTGGTTAAAATCAGTTTGGAAAAAACCTCCGCCGCTGACCTCTGAGAAAAGCCGTAATTTCATCGTATACATAGTACTTTTAACGTCCAGAAACGGAGTCGCAAAGTACAATATACAAATAAGGACAAGTCAAAATAAAACCGGACACCAGGAAGAACTTCGCGAATGCAGTTTTCAATTCTTTGGTCTAACAATTTGTCAAATCGTTGATTGACCAAATGAACTTGACAATATCATGGCGCTGGATATTAATATATATGAAATAGAAGCTATACTACTGGTGTCTCTTTACTAAAGACTGAAAATGGTGAGAAACCATGCAATTCAACATTTTCTAATCGTCTTTATTAGTTTTCTAGATAGATGTTTGTACCATCCTCATTAAGTATACTGTTAAAAAAGACTTCTTCACGACAGTGAATGTCAAATTTCTGTGCATGGGAAATTTTTTACAAGCTCCTAAAACTGATATTCTATATTTCTTTAACTTTCTTTTAGCCATTGTTTGCTTTTGAGCAAAGAAAACGTTCATTTTCAATCCGAAAAATATAGTTTTCTCTGTCTGAGTCGGCAGGAAGCAGATGCTCCTAAATATGCTCCAAAATATGCAAACGCGAATAAGAGAAATTTCCGAATCAGAGTTATTTCCGCGACTATAATTGAGGATGACATTGACTTCAAGTTTTTCATTTTAGTGTACTTGAACCGTAGATAGGTAGATAGATAGATAGATAGATAGATAGATAGATAGAAACTTTATTAACGTGTCAAAGAACCTTCTAGTTTGGGAGATATCCCATACTAATGTGGGGATACAAATATGATGAATAAAAATTATTTACAAAGGATATTACCTACTAAAGAATAAAAGTAAGTCATATCATGTATGAAAAAAATTATGAAATGAATTAAGAAGTGCATAGAGCACAGCACCTGCAGCCATCATCTAATAGTGTACTCATTGACGATGCAAATTATTTCTTTCTTGTAAAATCATTATTTTGGAGAAGGGTCTTCAGATTACGCCGTGGAAAGCTCTTTTTGGGGATTCATTTGAAAGACTCGAGCTACCTTCAAACAAGGTAAGGACCTTATCAATGTCTCCAGTATGTTTCCTCGGATCTCCTCCATTCTCCAGGAAAATATGATGGGATTTAAAGATGAATTAAGAAGCCCCACAGTCATTGAAAATTGGAAGACTCCTTTCAAAACGAGACTATGTCCTGTAATAGCTATGGCAAACTTGGTGCAAGTGTAGGGCAGAAAACAAGCGGCAAACACAGCATATACGTAGAAGATATTCATGGCAGATTTAAACTTTCTTTTTCTCAATACCAGTTCTTTGCGATTTTCGCCTGTGATTCTCTCTTGGGCTGATATTTGCGAACGGTGACGGCGGACAGCGAGATAGATTTTGGCAAAAGTTATAGTGGTAGTAACAAAGAAGGTGATCGTAAATGCAATCGAAACAATCTCTCGCTTCATTTCTCCAATGAATAAATACCCAACAGGAGCAACTGCACTAAGCGTCCACAAGACAAAAATGGTGATGGTTACCTTCCTCTCAGTTACGATTTCTCTGTAGCGTAAATGAAGAGTGATAGCGAGGAAGCGATCAAAACTGATCGCCGACACAATGAAAAATGAGGCACTAGTTAGAAATGCTCCCAAGACGAGGAAGGCGATTTTGGTATTGCACTCAGAATCGTTCGGCGAAACAGAGTCCTTTAAGAGTATCTCGGTGATTACAGATATATACAGCGGCTGTACGACCAAACCAACGCCAAGATCCGAGACTGCTAAACCAAGCAGAAGAATCTTTGACGTAGATAAAGCAGAAGTAGTCTTTGTTAGCGCACAGATGATGATTATGTTCCCAAATGTGGCTGAAAGCGTCAAAATCGCGTTGAGTACACAAAGCAATACATACCAGCTAGAAAATTGATCCTTTTCGGGATAATATTTTGAAATATCTTCACAAAATTCCTCTGGAGCTTTCATAAGGAATCTTCTCGGTGCAAATCTAGTGATTCTTGACGTTCTTAAGCCAAATACCTCAGATGGTGTGAACAGCTGAATTAGCTTCTTTTAAACTTTAATTACGCCAGCCATCGTTCATTACCATAGACTATATAATTACATAACCAGTTTGGGAATGATTTAATAGTGCAAGTCGAAAATTGAGTTAGTTATGGAGTGGATGCGAAATCGTGATGTTTTGAGGCAGCCGTGACCTCTATTTTCTAACTCATCTTGACTCGTTAAAATGAAGTTCTCAATTTTTTTGTGACTGCAATTGATATCACTATTTCTGGGCCACAAGTCGATTGTTATAGGAAGTGCAAAGAGCGACGTGAATAATTTATTCTTTTACGGAAAACGGAACTTTTTATCTCTTTAATTGTGGGAGAAACTTCAGCGTCTTTGCATGCTGTTCTATTACTCTGTTATAGATTATTCATTTGAAACTCTTGCATTTCCAATTAATTGCCCGAGGGAGTGGGTACTTCCCTGCATGGCCTGGACGAGATGCTTTTGTTTTCTTGTCACTTAACAGGTAAAACAAGTTGAATGACGTTATTGTTACGTGTGCGTCTTCAGCCCAAGAAAAGAAAACACATAACATTCCAGGTACGATTATTATGATGACTATGATGTCTATGGAGAGAACGAATCGCACAGAAATAAAATAATATGAAATGATAATTTCATACCTTGTGGAAATAGTTTTATCTAAATTTGTTGGGTGCGAAATGATTTTATCTAAGTTTGGATAAGGCGGCGGCCTTTGTGGCCTGAACGGTTCTGTATCACATCACAGGGAATAGCTTCAGGCTATGAAATTCTTTGATTTACAGTTTTGATCAACCCTTTACACCTAAACATCGACGAAAACATTCTCCATACTTTAGTGCTGATAAGGAACATTTGTTTGACAATCGAAACTTCTTGGGTCGGCGATCACTTTCCTTATTTTCATGATAGTAATAAATGATTCCACACTGATTATGTATGACAATGAAAAATGACGGCACTAGTAAGAAACCTCCTAAGGCGAGGAAAAAACTTTTGGTATTGCACTCAGAATCGTTAAGGGAAACAGAATCCATTGAGAGTATATCAGTGATAAGTACAACGGCTGCACAACTCAATCGAAATCTAGCTAGTGAGTCTTGACTTCAATAAAAGGGGTGGCGAATGGTAAATGCGAGACTGCGAGACGGCGAGACCACAGAGAGCCCAGACAAGCGACGAGTCTGGTTGTTTATTCGAAATATAAAGGAATGTATGGGAGAATATTGACGAGTCTTATGATCAAACAACAAACATATGAAATACATATATATGAACTGCGGTTATGAAACGTATATGTGCACGATCCTTCGCAGAAATGGAGGGGGTTCAAAAATTGTGTCAGTCCATAAGCGGCTGCCGATGGGGTAATAGGGGGCCCGGAAAGGGGCCGTAAGTTGTTACCCAAACACAAGAACCTTCTCGCAGCTCAAAAAAACGGCGATAAGGAGGTCTTATAGGACTTAATAGCCGTTGGTCGACCCCTAGTAACCGGCTTTTAATAAAAAACCCCTGGGAATGCTCAAAGGTTTTTAAGCAGCATTCTGTGAACTGTTTTGACGCATCGAAAGGGCTTTCCTGGAAATCGAAACATAATCACAGTTTTCTTACTCAGCTACCGTGACAAGGCTGTAGTAATGATCGAGTACGTTTCGAGGAAAATATTTGTTGTTATCTAAAGGGTTGTGATTTATGAATCAGTCAAAATTCTTTTAAAACCAATATCTGCTAAAGGGCAACAAGCAAATACTACATGCTGGAAATACAGTATTTCTAAGGTATAATATATACTTCCGTCTCTAAATGCAACGGAATCTTGAAATCCTTAAACCATGACGTGTAGATTTTCCAAGAAAATCCTACAAGAAGTGAATCTGGCGTTTATTTCAATGTGATTGTTTCTAAAATTTTACTGCCCTAACAAATTAAGGTTTAGATCATGTTAGAGGGACGAAAATGGTTTGATTTTATTCCACTCAGTTACAATGCAACGATAGGCAATAGAAAAGGTAAGCACGCTTCAAAGTTTTGCACTTTGCTTTAAAGTCACATTAATGTACAATACCTAAGAGTCACCATTATACTCGGTCAATCGATAGGGCTAAAATCTCTGATCGCCTTTAATGATCGAAAGCTAGAAATACACAACTCTTGTCTTGAGACAATTTCATTCGGTAAATTTTATCTCTAAATCATTAACTTTCAAGTCGGTGTACTAATCACAATCGCGTGCCTGTTGCGGGCAAATGCGGCTTTTGTGATGATCAGATCTCCTTCAGACGGATGCATTCAAAGTATGGTTTAGTTCTAGAGGTGGNTTGTATCTCATTTATCACTTTCACGGGTTTATTACGAATCAACTTAACGGCCTGCTCCCAGTTGGCTTGTTAGCTCAATTGGTAGAGCGCTGCACTAGTATCGCAGAGGTCAGTGGTTCGAGTCCCGTACAGGCCTGATTTTTTTCAGGTCTGATTTTCGCTATTGCATAAATAGCGCTATCTACTGCGAGGATCGTGCATCATACGTATCTAATACCGCAGTTCAAAATATATGAACTTCATATATTCATTGTATCTCATTTATCACTTTCACGGGTTTATTACGAATCAACTTAACGGCCTGCTCCCAGTTGGCTTGTTAGCTCAATTGGTAGAGCGCTGCACTAGTATCGCAGAGGTCAGTGGTTCGAGTCCCGTACAGGCCTGATTTTTTTCAGGTCTGATTTTCGCTATTGCATAAATAGCGCTATCTACTGCGAGGATCGTGCATCATACGTATCTAATACCGCAGTTCAAAATATATGAACTTCATATATTTATTCTATCTCATTTATCACTTTCACGGGTTTATTACGAACCAACTTAACGGCCTGCTCCCAGTTGGCTTGTTAGCTCAATTGGTAGAGCACTGCACTAGTATCGCAGAGGTCAGTGGTTCGAGTCCCGTACAGGCCTGATTTTTTTCAGGTCTGATTTTCGCTATTGCATAAATAGCGCTATCTACTGCGAGGATCGTGCATCATACGTATCTAATACCGCAGTTCAAAATATATGAACTTCATATATTCATTGTATCTCATTTATCACTTTCACGGGTTTATTACGAATCAACTTAACGGCCTGCTCCCAGTTGGCTTGTTAGCTCAATTGGTAGAGCGCTGCACTAGTATCGCAGAGGTCAGTGGTTCGAGTCCCGTACAGGCCTGATTTTTTTCAGGTCTGATTTTCGCTATTGCATAAATAGCGCTATCTACTGCGAGGATCGTGCATCATACGTATCTAATACCGCAGTTCAAAATATATGAACTTCATATATTCATTGTATCTCATTTATCACTTTCACGGGTTTATTACGAATCAACTTAACGGCCTGCTCCCAGTTGGCTTGTTAGCTCAATTGGTAGAGCGCTGCACTAGTATCGCAGAGGTCAGTGGTTCGAATCCCGTACAGGCCTGAATTTTTTTCAGGTCTGATTTTCACTATTGCTTAAATAGTGCTTTACTGCGAAGGATCGTGCACATATACGAGTCTTATGATCGTAAACTTCTATCATGAAAAGTCTGAGTTAAAGCTCAAAATAAATATAAACTTACCTCAATTGCTGTGTATTGTCGTTTCTGTGGCTCTAAATGGCGAATTTGAGCGATTTGGTGGGTTTTGCGTCGACTGTTACCATACGTTATAAGAGGGAGACAAGGGTGGAAAGCTCGTTTTCTACCGCTCTAGCGCGAAGCCGATTTTCACCCGGAGATAAGAATCGCCCGGCTTCCAAGTCGAAAACCAGATAAACTGAAAGGTTGACGCTTCTTCTCGTCGCATTCAATCGAAGATCCATTCAAAATCCAAGCGCTAACCGCCAAAAAATTTTCGAGAAATGCAGCTTTCGAAGCGATCAGCATCCGCGGCCCCGATTTCGTGTGCCAAGGAGCAACCGTCACGCTGTTTGCCCCACGCTGGATGATGCTAAACAATGCCCGATTACAAATGCTTCATGTGGGAGGGGATTCAGGGGCATATTCACGCCAGTGATTCATCTACTGACTAGCCTGGTGTGAGGTTTATGTCGCGTGACGGAAACCCGACACGACGTCAACCCTCTTTGTTCGCGTAAACCAGTGAGCTTTGAGAGGATACTTGGGATTATTTTTGAATTATTTTTGAATCTCCCCAAGTCAAGGCCATTCCACATAGGCTGGAGCTGACAACTTTTTTGCGTCAGAATGCAGGCGACAGGGATTTCATCACCTGCCTCAAAGAGATTCGCTACGGGAGGTGTGGAGAGAAATCTCTCGAGTTTATTAGCATTCAGTATCACACGAGTCAAGATATTGAATGTTTCACGATCTTAGATTCTGCCGCTTCAAAATACCAAATTAAGATCAAAGAGGCATTGCATATTAAGTAGGAAAAACCCATTCTTAATCAGCAATTGAAGCATCTAGAATTGTCTATTTCCTTTTAATTATGTTATTCCTTGGTGTTTTATTTTATTTATTATTATCATTTTTTTTATCTAGTCAAGCACGCGCTAATTACATTTTTCGCGTTTTTAATATTCAAATGTAACGTAAGCCCTGACACGTAGTTTGTGACGTACCTTAATATAAATTCAAATGTGCAACCGTTAAATGCTCATTTGCAACTGAAGATGACGTGAGAATGTCGAAACATGTCTTGTAAATTTAAACTAAAAGTTGTCGTTTCTTTTTTGAGAGGTATTGTGACTCTGCTGTCTTTACGCCCTTATAGAAGACGTCATTTAAAAAAAACGAACAAACGAGTCGGGACTTCGAGACCCTTAGCCTTGCAAAAAAATCGAGACTCCGAGACACCTTCGTATAAAAAACGAGACTGAGAGACGCACATAACCGCTGAAAAAACGAGACTGCGAGATCTACGAAATTCGACTAAAATTTTGCGAGACCCTGAGTTTTTGAAGGACCATTCACCACCCCTAATATAGCGAAATGACTCGGGAGATGTGAACCGCTGAAGTTTCCATTAAACTTGAATCGTGCCATCGTTCATTACCATAAATGATTACCATTTGTTTATCAGTTACGGCTCTTAACTATAATTTCAAGAATTTATTTACAATAAATTTCACAGGAAGGATAGGCAGGAAGTTAATGTAGTTTCTCGTGCTATTTGGTGTTAATAAGCACGAATAAATTTTCAAAGACAACAAAATTTCACGAGCCCGCTGGGCGAGTGCAATTTGTAGTGTTTAAAAATTAACAAGTGCTTATTTGCACTTAATTGTACGAAAAATCATCTTGCTACTTATTAGTAATTTACATAAACAGAGCTTTACAGATCAGAAAGTCAAGGCAGACGAAATTTTAACAACACGCGCGCGCTACTTAGAATTTCTACTCGTGTTAAACCTTTTCACTTGTGTTACATGAAAAATACACTGCTTTCAGCCAATCAAACGGGCGTAATTTTTTTTATTATTTACATTAATAAACAAGTAAAAGAGGCCGAACTAAGTTCTATTATGCGCGCATATGAAATTTTCTTGTCGAGCCCTACAAATAGCTAAAATCCGCCGTCTCCAGCCTCAAAAATGACTTGATAAAGCACTTCAGGCATAAGCAAAAATATTAATCGCATTGAAATACGATCATAAGAAACGACGTTTCCATACCTTATGTAAATGAACTGATCAAAATTTGAGTGCGGTCCCTGTGGCCTCAACGGGTATGTAGCACAAGATGGAGTATGGTTTGAGGATATAAATGTTCGATTAAGCGTTTTAATTATTAGGCAGCTTCGTTCAAGAGGCGGCACAAAGACTGAATGCAGGTGTGATTCTAATCCCACCCCAAATATCCTATCAGAATAAGGTAGACCAAGCTCCATTAGGTGAAATGCTATACTTGTCTTAGACAGGAAAGCAAAATGAACGAATTTCGTCCTAAAAAGTGGATAAGGGGTTAAACGCCTCTGCTTCACATCTCTATCCGGGCATCCCTTGAGTGCACCCAGGGAGCTGGGTCGGGGAAAGGGAAGGGAGACAGATTTTATCTGTGGGCGCCATCAAACTGATTGCGGAACTTAATTTCGGAGATAGCAGAAAGAGACAAGGACACATTATCAAAAGCACTCCAAATGGAATAAACGATAAAGACTGCAGTTAAGGTCAAGGAAGTTGATAAATAAGCACCGCCCCTTGATGAGTTCCCTATCAACCAAACAACGAAATCATTCAGAGTGGAACTCATTCATAACTATGAAGGTAAAGGGTATAAGCCGACGGCCTTTCAGTTGGTCTCGACAATTCTCCAAATGAAACTCGAAGAAGAAACTAATGCCCCCAATGTAATCCTAAACTACGTTTTGCTCCTTTATCTCAACTCTCAATCTGCTTTTCGAGTTTTTCTCGTTAACAATAGACGTTTGTGATAAGAGCTAACTACTATAAGGACCGCATAGACTAAGCTAGGAAATTACACAAGCACTGCGGGGTTTTTTATGAGAAAAGATTGATTTTTATCTGTCTGTCGTTTATTTTTTCCGCAAATCGTGTTTTTTTTTTCGGAAATCGTGGCAAAACAAAATTAATCGCAACTGGAGAAAACTCGTCGTTGGTCCGTGGTTTCTTAACGCTACAGGTGATCACTGGTTTGGACACAAATTGTGGAAATACCAACAAAGAAGATTTCCTCAACAGTCTAAATCCGAACAGACAAAACGTTATTTCAAGAAAAAGAGAAAAATACTGAGTGCGTCATAACTTGCTAGGCACTAAGTTTCCTTCAGCAAAAATAATAACAATAAATGGAAAAAAAGAGGATGAGCTTTTTGATCAATGTCTCTTCGACGTGGCGCTCAAAAACGCATTGGCGGAAACACCGCCATTTGATATTTTGTCAAAAGGCTTTGAGCGGATAATTTAATTAATACATCAGATCACAAGTAGTATGCAAATGACTTCCATCTGAAAATGCCAAAGGCTAATGGCGGGAAGAGCGAGTAATTGTTAAAGTGATTGCGGTGATCACTTAGATTTGAGCAATTAAAACACAGTAGTAAAAAATGTTGTATGTTCAATCCATCGTGGCCTGAACTGATGTAAATGAAAAGCATCAGCATCTGTCAACTAAGATAAGAATACGGCCACCAGTTTGAAGAGACTTTAATTTTACGCCGCTAGCTGACGATACTGTTTTATCTCCGCTGGTGTTGAAAAAAAAAAGAGAGAATTTTCAGCTCGAGATCCCGAGGACAAAATTCGCTAAGACTTTAATTTCTGTAGGAATGAACATTGCATATATGTTTTTATATGTAAACATGTCATAAAAGTAAAAAGAAGGATTTCCATTCTAGTCTTATGCATATTTTAAACAATTAGAAGATTAGCCTTTTTTCCCTTTGATCAGTGCTTCCCAACTCATAACAGGCCTCTCTATAACATGGTGCACATTCAATGCAGTGTAAAGTATTTCTTAAGATCCTCGATGGAATGGAAAGTGGTTCGTAAGTGCTAGGATATCGATAATTTATAAACTATAGCACGGGTGGAGACTCTTGCGTATAGAAGAGATAAGATATGTAAGGAGTATATGTGCAAAATGAACGACTTCTACCTACAAGCCTAAACGATACCTGTCCCTACACCCTATAAAGGCACAAATCAGACCAGCAGTACTTTTACAGAAACGTTACTACCTGTAGAACCAAGCACACCGAAGACTTTTTCACTTTTAAGTATTTTTAACAAATGCGATGCATGTTCTGGTGTGGTGTATATAACTTGTACATAGTCGATCTTATTAAGTTTTCATTGTATTATAACTCGTTAATTCAGTAAGTTACTGCAAGAGAGTTTAATAAAATGTTATTATTATTATTATACTGCCCCCCTTCACAGAAAAATAATTAAAAAGGGCTGGCTATAGGGCTGTTAACTAGTTGAGATCAGCACTTAACAACCACACCTTCTTTAACACATTCTCTATCATGGCCCCCTTCTTCAATAGAAAGAAAGGGAACTTGAACAAGTTGTGATTTGGCTGTATTTCGGGCATTTATATATGTCATCTAAATGTACATGTATACTGCAAACTATCAATTCTGACTTTACATCAAACCCCTCGGTTGTCCTGATAGTGTCTCTTCGATTTGAAGATGTTCTTCCAATTTTCATTACTGACACGGAGTTAACATGTCGAATAAATCCAGTGCCCCTCAAAAATTCTCGTTGATCATTCAATGACGAATATTTCGTTTAACTTGACTGGTAGGAGTTGTTGTTGACCTGTCTCTCTTGAAATAAGAGGTGCTCAGAATCGATAGTTTCTTTTCCTTTGGGATATGAAGATCTTGGTCCGTTTTTAAACATGGCAATAATTTTTTGAGGATTTCTAAAGCGTATCTCCGTATCTCTCTCATTCGCCAGCAGTATAAGATGGGATTCAATGATGAATTTAACAATGCCAATGTCAATGAAAACTGAAAGATTCCTTTAACAAATAAACCGTGTTCAGAGGTTACTATGATCAACATTGTACCAGTATAGGGAAGATAACAGGCAGTGAATACGATATATATATACAAGATGTTAACGGCCGATTTAAATTTTCGTTTGCTCAGCGCTAATTCTTTGCAGCTTTCACTTGCCGAATTTTCTTGAGATCTTATTTGCAGACGGTGTCTGTGGACAGCGAAGTAGATTCTAATAAATGTTATCGTAGTTGTGATGAAAAATATCAACGTAAATGTGCTGGACAATGCCTCTCGGTTAACAGCTCCCATGAACATATAACCAAGAGCAGCAACCGCGCTGAGCGCCCATAGAACGATCAGTGTAATGACAACTCTCTTTTCTGTTACAATTTCTCTGTAACGAAGATGCAGGCTGATGGCGAGGAAGCGATCAAAACTAATCGCGGAAACGACGAAAAATGAAACACCAGCAAGAAAAGTTCCCACGACTAGAAAAGTTATCTTGGTTTTGCACTCAGAATCAGCTGGAGAAACAGAATTACTTAGGAGCATCTCGAAGATCACGGAGATGTACAAGGGCTGTACAACTAAACCAACAGTAAGATCGGAGAAAGCCAAACCAAGGAGCAGTATTTGCGAAGGAGATAAGGCACAAGTTGTCTTTGTTAGCGCACAGATGATAATCGTATTGCCAAATATCGCAGAAAGGGCCAAAATTCCGTTGATTATACAAAGCACGATGTACCAGCTATAAAAGTCGTCCGCGTCTGGATAGTATTTGGAAATATCGTTACAAAACTCTTCCACTACCTTCATGGTGTCCAGTCGACGATTTAGCTAAAGACTGCAGAAAATGTGAAAAGAATGGTCAGTTAAGCCTCACCTCCAGTACTTAATTGAAAACCAAATCCATTAACCACGAATGGCTGGAAGGTTATTTAAAATTTAAAATAAATACTAACAAAGGTCTTAAAGGCGAAAAGAATCGAAACGAAATTTCATTTAGTTAAAACGAAAGTATACAGAAAAAAGGAATCGCGTAAACGATATATATTTTGGAGTCAGTTTATATATGCAAAATCGTGAGAACTGACATTTCTGCTCTCAGGCACTTATAGATCGTTTATTAGAGAGAAACAATAAGTTGTCAGATTGCCGGTGGCATCAACCATCTGTGTTTCGCTTAAGGGTGTCGCAAGTTACCTACGCGATGATAAGCGACAATATACAATTTCCACGTTATCAATCCGAGTTCTCTGAGTTTGATGCTTTCAGTCTAAACAATACCAGAATCAAGATGAAAATCACCTATACTTGTAGAGTTTTTAATTAAGCCTGCTTCACGATCGTACGTGTTTTGGTTTAATTAGTTACGGTAGAAAAACAGTCGACAACACCAACGTCTTAGTAAAGAACAAATAAAAGTCGCTACTTTTCATTACTAGAAACCCCTGCAGTTACAAGATAATTTAGCAGAATTTAGGGGAAAAAAGGAATTGAGAATCCCCATGCTTTTGTCATAATTGTTTCTTACAGCATATCAGAACATCCTTTTGTTTTTAATACAACTCATAATAAATTTTAAGACTCAGGATATTTAACAAATTTGACAGCTGGTTTCGAATATATTACCTCAAAAGAAACAAAATGCGAGCATACATAAATCATTCATTTTTTTCAATATTATTTCCTAAAAAATCGCCAAGATGGATCAAACGCTTCTTGATGAAAATGTAGAAAACGTTTTCAGATTTTGACCGGCTATGTTTGATAAAAATTCCACTTATGGAGATGTCTCGATTGAATCGACCAAACAGAAATTTAATATTTAACAAAGGAAAGGCCATCTATGTTTGAGTTTCATAACAGCCCTAACAAAATAGATTAAAATGAAAAATGTTTCTTTTAATCATCTTTCGCTAAAATGAGTTGTTGGCTGAGGATTCGTAAACAACAGATTTCTCCTGCAGCGAGTTAGCATCAATTATATGAGACATCCTTCATTATTATCAACACAAGGAAATCCGAAGCGAATCTTTAGACCGTATTAAGCCAGAAATCTTAAGAGAAAGAAATAACGGTACCCGTCGTCCAAGTTACAAGCTAAGTCGCTCATTGAACGAATTATATGTCGTATTGCCCCCACGCCTTCCCAGCACCACATCGTAACATCTGTAAGCGTGGGCTTGAATTACAAAACAAATACAATTTCAACTCTTGAAATGGCAAAAACTTTGTCTGTTATTTTCAGTAATTTTCTGTATTTTTTTCTTTTCTATTTACCGGCAGGATTCTTTAGATTCGATTCTGAGAAATAAGAGATGGCTTTTTAAAAATCGGTAAACCGTAATATGTACAAAAAATAACTAAATAAATAAATTAATAAAAATAAAGAGTTTTTGTTTTTCTGAAAGTGTTAAATATTAAACATATTTAACTTCAGATAGAATAAATATATGAGGTTCATATATTTTGAACTGCGGTATTAGATACGTATGATGCACGATCCTCGCAGTAGATAGCGCTATTTATGCAATAGCGAAAATCAGACCTGAAAAAAATCAGGCCTGTACGGGACTCGAACCACTGACCTCTGCGATACTAGTGCAGCGCTCTACCAATTGAGCTAACAAGCCAACTGGGAGCAGGCCGTTAAGTTGATTCGTAATAAACCCGTGAAAGTGATAAATGAGATACAATGAATATATGAAGTTCATATATTTTGAACTGCGGTATTAGATACGTATGATGCACGATCCTCGCAGTAGATAGCGCTATTTATGCAATAGCGAAAATCAGACCTGAAAAAAATCAGGCCTGTACGGGACTCGAACCACTGACCTCTGCGATACTAGTGCAGTGCTCTACCAATTGAGCTAACAAGCCAACTGGGAGCAGGCCGTTAAGTTGATTCGTAATAAACCCGTGAAAGTGATAAATGAGATACAATGAATATATGAAGTTCATATATTTTGAACTGCGGTATTAGATACGTATGATGCACGATCCTCGCAGTAGATAGCGCTATTTATGCAATAGCGAAAATCAGACCTGAAAAAAATCAGGCCTGTACGGGACTCGAACCACTGACCTCTGCGATACTAGTGCAGCGCTCTACCAATTGAGCTAACAAGCCAACTGGGAGCAGGCCGTTAAGTTGGTTCGTAATAAACCCGTGAAAGTGATAAATGAGATAGAATAAATATATGAAGTTCATATATTTTGAACTGCGGTATTAGATACGTATGATGCACGATCCTCGCAGTAGATAGCGCTATTTATGCAATAGCGAAAATCAGACCTGAAAAAAATCAGGCCTGTACGGGACTCGAACCACTGACCTCTGCGATACTAGTGCAGCGCTCTACCAATTGAGCTAACAAGCCAACTGGGAGCAGGCCGTTAAGTTGATTCGTAATAAACCCGTGAAAGTGATAAATGAGATA